AAACCAAGGAGAAACCACTCTCCTGGAATGAAGGAAGGGTGGGGGAAACAGGAGAAGGAAACAAATTAGAAAGCTTCTTACTTTCAAATCAGAAATGAAGGTAATACAAAATGCTCATGATATGTAAGGATGAAAAATGACCATCCTTCCTGTGCATTAGCATACCACTTGCAGAATCTACAGTATTTCCTATAACCCTAATATGTTTGCCTCTATTTTGTTTGGTGAATTATGAAATCATTAATTTTTTTGATTAAATATGTTTTTCCAGATCTGTGTTCTAAATTTATTTTGCACTAAAATCCTATGGTTTTACATTCTTGGTCTTTGAATACAGGTACATAATCAAAGAGATTCTACATCACCCAGAAATCTACCATCATCTAGAAGAAATATTTAATCCCCAAAGGACACTGGCTTTCTCATGGGATTTTTCCAGTTCTATTTATGTATTAAGTGTTCCAATACACAACTTGTTATGAGTGGATAAGGTCATTTCTAAAGTCAGAAAATTAGAGTGCTGGTTTGTTGAAGGTTTTATTTACACTTTAGGCAAGGCAGAACAGTAGGAACAGCTAAGAGGCTTTTTCCTCCTCAGTTCTCATCAGCAAGATGTACAGCTGGGTAAACTATCAAAAAATACAAGTGAGGAAGCATTCTTTAACCTTTTCAGTGGGGCTGATAGAAAATCAAATTTGTAGTTTCAAAGCTGAAAATATTAAGTATCATATTAAATTTTAAATCAACTGTTCTGAAGATCTTGTTAGGATCCTCCAGTTCAGGGATGGCCAAGTTGCAGCCCATGGGCCACATTACACATAAGTATTGTAGTCATGCTCTAGGTCAATACATCTTCATGGATAGCATGATCCTTCATCAACCATGACAGAATATGACTTGGAGTGTAGGAAGTGACCTAACATGCAATAATTTTCTCCTTGTAGTAAACCATTAGCTGACATTGCAACATTTGATTTCAAGTTACTGAGGACTCAGGAATAACTAACCATAACCCCAGCTAGCCATGGGGGGAGATCCATCAAGCTAGAATTTCCGGCTAAGCATAATTACAATGCCGATACTAGCATTGGAATTGTTTAAATCCCATGACAGAAGAGGGCAAATAAGCTGACTCAAGGTCGATATACATGGCCACTGGGAAGGCTAGCAATGAAGGTAAGGATGCTCATCAAGGCATTGATACCTGGTAGGAGAGTTAGGCCAGCAGGAGTCTACATGCGTTCTGTAGATATTTTAAAAATAAAATTTTGTCTTGGGCCTGGGCCGACTAGTTTCAAATTCCATTTACCCCGAGTAAGTTGGGAGTTTAGTGTAATAACAAGCCTATAGACACATCCAAAGACATTCAAAAAGTTTTTCTGAAAAGTTTAAAAGTCTCTTTATTGGCAGCTTGAGTGATACTCGCATCAATATGTCCCCGAAAGCAACTCCTTGAGGTTTTTGGATGAAGTATTCAAAAATCCATTCATTACCACATAAACCTGAGTTATGCAGAAATAGCATTGAATCAATTCAAACTGTGCTATAACTACAGCATTGCTTCCAGTGAACACAATATTGACACAGAAACAGCATTCTGGTCCATGGCACAATAAAGTGGAATGGTCTTTGAAGATCAACCATGGTAAACACTAGGGTTGAATTGGTTCAATTTGATTAGTGTATTCATATTTAAGTATTAGTTTAACTATGAAATTTAAAATGTATGTTTTATAAATATACAAAGGAACAGATTTAATGACTCAAATCGTCTTCTCCAATTCCATACTCTCTTAGATAAAGAAACCATAGGTTTAACTGATGAATGGAATCTACCCTGTTAAAAAGACCATAATTTATGGCTGCGTTCAAATATGTCTACAAGGAAAATATTTCTCTGGGTGTGGCTGTGAAAACTAAAGAGTGGCTTGTTACACCAGATTTAAGGATCATCTGATGTATTGCATTATATGGCAGATTAGCCACCTAAAGCACTTTCAATAATTGTTGACAACATTTCAGAAACCATTACATCTAGAAGTCTAGAAAGATGAAGAATTTGTTCAGTGAGTAGTCTCTCATGCTGAAAAGGGGATTACGAAAAAAATAAATTATGGACAAAGAAATGTTATCACTTCATCAGATTTTCCATGTTACATGCACAGTGAAGCACTACATGTTGGAAGATAACAATTTCACAATCCATTCGACTGTTTGAAAGGGTTTTAAAATTACCCAGTGTTGTAAAACAAATGGAGGTTAATGGACACTTAAGCCAATGATGTGAAAAATATCCCGTACGTGATCCAACTATTTTCAAATCTCTCCCAAGCTCAAATGAAAAACAAGCTTGGAATACCCACTAAGAGGCACACAATAAGATATTTGGAACTTGTAGGTAGCAGGATTTTTTTTGAATTTCATAACACTGGTTTACAAACTTGAGGTTTTTAATTTTGTTAACCTCAGGAACTTCCACATACTTATAAACTCAATAGTATCCATTTGATGTAGGTAAAATATAGATTCAAACACAAATAAAATTGAATTAGACGCATTTACTCCAACAAAATTATTTGCGCTGAAATGAACTGTTCAATAAAAGCTGTTAGTTTAAAATAGCAGACTGAAGTAAAATAAAGACAAGTTCAGAGTGTAAAATAGTTTTTATAGTATTAAAAGGATAATAATAATCTTTGCGATATTACTTTTGGACTTTTATTGTACTTTTATTCTAGAAAAATACAAGAAAGATTTTATTTTACACCACAAAAAGTAATCTCTATTGATCTGTGAAGGATTTCTGTTGAATATCCAAAATATTCTTCTTTCTTGCTTTTTCAATGATCGTGATGAAATTATACAATTTCTTACTATGAATAATAAAAGGTGATTGTCCTACTGAAAACCTGGCAATCTTTTGTAAAGAGGTAGATATTTATGACAATTAACCAGAATTTAACATTTAGTAAGAATTTTGGGAGTTAACAAGATGAATCACCTTTTTTGTTTTTGTTCACAGTATTTTGGAATATAATCTAAAAAGAAGAAAGTGGAATTTTGAAGCCTAGTTACAATCAATAGAAGTCTTGAAATATCCACTCTGTACAGTGTGATCAGATAAATGATTAATGAGCATAATTTTGTTTATGAAGATGTGTTATGACTTTTCAATTGCAACCAGAACGTCATTCATATGTTTATACAATCAGTAAAGGATTTACTTCCACTAGAGAGCATTCACTGGTAAATAGTTGTTTTGCACTTTATTACCTAAAGAATTTTATTGTTAAAATGACTGGAACCTATTTGGTCCAACACGTGAAAGAAATAGTTTAATAGAAGAAATATCCTACACTATATAACATTATTAATTTCATCACAATACAGTAGTGATCATCGAACATACACAATCCAACTGTTTTTGCCTTCTGACTTAATGTCAAATGCTGGCATATTTGACTCCCGAGATGATTGATTGAAATACTGAAAACTCTTGTGGGTTTGGCTTTTGGCAACCTTGTTTATAACATTGCAATTCTCACCAAAAGCTGAGGAAGACATCAAGCTGAATAATAAATGTAAAAATTGGAAGCAGGAGAATGAGGAACATCAATATACTGTAGTGATTTCCATTCACACTGCATCTCTCCTTTCGATGTACCCGGTGAACTCCAACTGCTTTAAATTGGGCTAGGAAATTGACCTTGATGTAGTAATTACTGATGAACAATGGGAGGTGATCTGCTGCATCTCTGCTTTTATGACCACAAGCAATTATTCATAGGATGGAGAGAGATCAAAATACTGTGCCATATTTCTGACACACTAGCATGACTAAGCAGGTGGAATCTAGCAGCTCATCCGTATGATAAAGAGCATGCGGCAGTACTGGTGAGATTTGTAGATACACTGGGCATTTGTAGCCAGCTGTGCCAAGGCAATGGCTGCAATCTAAAACAAGATGGTCCCATAGGATTGTACATAGGATCTTCCCGACAACTTTCTAACAGATGGTAGAATGATTTGCCTCATTGATTTCTTATTATTTGCAGCGCAGTACTGCATTCAAACTCTTTGACATCAAGCCATTATAATAACAAACAGATTAAAGTTCATTGACTCTGATACAAGCAGAAAATAAAATTGCATTTTTGCTTCACCTCAACCAAACACTTAATACTTGACTGCCCTTTACTTAAATCCAGTGCTGTGAGCAGCATGTGGCTCCTGTTCTCTTGGAGAGGGCAAGAGCAATGCTGTGCAGTGGTTGGATCCTTAGGTTTGTCTAACTGAAGCTTAATTATCTGTAATAAATTCACATGAATTCCTCCTATATTATCAAATTATTTTCAGACTGATACAGAGAGCACACCACTTCCAAGGTTTTCCTTCATGAGATCCCCAAAACAGATTTCCTCACGCTACCAAGTATTTTGCCCTTCCTTTCTCTTCAATTATTAATTTTCATTCAAGAGTCAAAAAAAATTCCCCCACCTTCCCCCGCGCCTTCCTTCACCCTGCACATGGAGTTCGGTAGCATAGTGGTTGGAGCACTCTCTTCGCAAGTGAAAGGAACCGGGCTCAATTCCTGAGCAGGGGGACCTTAGGCAAGTTTCCTTACTCCACACACATGCCTCTGTTTACCTCAGGGTAAGTAGGAACCTGCTTGTTAGTCGATTGGTGGATCGCTTTTCAGGGGGTAATTATCCCTTCAAAAAATGATAACTTGGTCACTCAATCCACAACTGTTGGTGGGCCACTGCTGTGTTCAATTCGCTGATGTTTTTTCACCCAGAAAATAGTCATGACATTTTACAATATGTTTGAGACGTCTCAAAGATGTGATAAGGCGCTATATCAAATGCAAGGATTATTTATTATTATTATTAAAATGGGAAGAGCCTATAAATTCCAATGATCAGTTTTCCATGAATAATAATTTAGTGTCATTTACTGGTATTATTATAAATATTTATTACTTTCTATAGTCTCCTTACCTGCGCCAAAGAGGTGTACTTCTGGAACAGCCAGATCACAAAGAGCATAAAGAAGCTGCAAGAAAATAAAATAGCTGTTGTCACCAGGTCCAAGTGGAAGACGTTGTCTAAATAAACATTTACCCTAATGTTTCTCACCTTTGCTCCTCTCAGACCCCCTTCCCCTCAACACTGAAACAGCCACAAAATCAATCCATGGCATTACATGCGGAACCATCAATACCAATGCTCTAGCATTGCACTCATTATACCTCAGTTTTAATTTAGTTTTAGTCAATATGAATCTTTAAACAATGAAAAACAAATATAAATGCTATATTTATTCTGAAAGGATGTAATATAATAATTTGCCCCAAAACATCAGCCCTCACAAAGAGATTTCCGATATCAAAGCACGGTTTACCAGATTAAAACACGTTTAACAAGATAGTTATAATTAAGAATACAGGAGCTTAGTTTGACTACTAATGAAAAGGTGAAAAAAATTACCATCCAAGTAGAGAAAATGAAGCAGAGGCTCGCTTTACTGCTATAATTGTGACCTGGAGATTAGAAACAAATTATATTAGGTTTTCATAATCTTTGAAGTTCACATCAATATCTTGTTTGGATTTTTAAAATTCCTTTTGTTATTTTTCAGTTCCCTATTTTTCTCCTTGTAACATTCCTTTCCTAAATGCTCTGGCTCACATTAAGGTATATGTAGGAATATGCCCACTTCTATCCCAAGCAACCACTGGGTATTATTTATGTATTCATGTACAGTGAATACTAGGGGTTATACTACCATTGGGAGCAATATGGCTCATTCTTCCAAACATTTCTTCTTTTAAAAAAACAGATATATCTTTACAGCTAGGATCGCGAGACAGTAATAAATAGGAATCTTAGTCAATTTTATTCTACCCATTGTAGTATTGCCCTAACTCATAACAGACCTAGACTTTACTAGTCTATGCGACTTATTATCAAATATACAATCTACTTTACTTACCAAGGCAATGAAAGAAAGCAGCAGAAATATTTTTGTGCCCAACAATGCACCTGATGTTTGATACAATCTTATTTATTTCAATTCACTCCCCTCCACTGCTGATGGGGCAGGTACTTATCCGTAACTATCAACAGGACTTTGTCTAAGTGGGCATTCTTCATATAGTCTTTGAGTCATGTACTGCATTCCAAACCAAATTTTCCCAGTGTCATTTTACTGTAGAACCTACATCACCTAAACTATACCAATCTGAGTCCTATGGCCCAAGGGTTTATAAAGCCTGAAACAAAGTGATACAGTTAAAGTGTTAATAACATCAATATTATTGCATTGATATTGCACTTCATTGTGTTGAAATGTCTCAAAACACTTCAGAGTTTTCTACAAAGTATAGCAACTATGTATTTGTAAGCAAATAAAATTCTACCTAAGTCTAGATTTACTCTTACTAACATAAGATTTCAGAGCTGTAAGTTCTGTGATTCTTTAAGCTCTTTTAAGAACCACACAAACAGGTTATTAATAATAATTATAATCCTTACATTTGATATAGCACCTTATCACATCGACGAGACATCTCAAACCGCTTCACAGCGTATACTGTAAAGTGGTTTGACTATGTATTTTGTAGGTGAAACATGGCAGCCAGTTACTCACAACAACTTCCCAGGAACAGTCATAGAGTGAGTGACCAATTTTATTTGGGGGATTGTTAGCCAGAATACTGGGAGAAATTCCCTTTTCTTTTCGAATAATGCCTTGGTACCTTTAACATCCCAAAAGTGCTACCACTAAACCAGGCTGACACACAGGTTTCAAAGATAAACCTGAATTCAACAATTTGTCAAATTCTGTACACTCTGGAATGCTAAATTGTGTAAAACTAGACCTGGGTGGAATTTCTACTGCATACTCATATTAACATACTATTTGAAGTAGCAACCAGCAACATCTGAACTTAGTTGTTGTGCCTAATCAATACTAATTCTAGTGCAGAGACATTAATATAGGTGAACTACTAAAAATGCTGCCTTAAGATTCCAATATAACTAGACAACAATATTGCTCTGTTTACTATGTAGGATAAAATGACAAGGTGTTTTTAATCACATTATTAATCACAGCAGACAACATTTTGTAATCCGTGATTAAACTACAGCCTTAGATTGTGGATATCTGGGATTTATTCTGAAAGACGTCACAGAAAATCTTTAATCCCCTGTATCACGTGAAACAGTGGAAGATATTCTTGTTGCTAAGCACAACATGAATAACGTCGACTGTATTCATGTTAAGTGCTCCGGGATGCCCCCTGCGTGAGGGGTGCTATACAAATGCAAGTTGTTGTTGCTGCTGAACATCTAGTAACTGCTATAATCTGCTTGAATCATATCAAAACATACGCCCATCAGACTACGTTTTCCTTGCCTATTTGCTCCCCTCAACTGAAGACAATTGACTCATGTTTCTTCTTCTGGGAAACAGATCCATATGAGTTACAAAGTATCAAAAAGGAAAAATCACAACTGAACATAATTCTGTTTTTACCCAACATTCACACATTCAGTAGCCGTCTCTGGACAATGACTAGAAAAAGAAATCCTGCCCAATTTACCTCTCACCAACTGATTATAATTGCATCCACTGCTGCCAGGCCTGACAACTAACTAAACACAGACTGCAGTTTGTACCAGAGACCTTCTAGTCATCGAGTGAGCTGCCAGATTTATCGATTGGATGTGGATGCTGCTACAGTTTTGACAAGACAGAACTCAACAGTTTTCAGCCAAGCCTTTGATCAGAAAGAGCATTCCCAAAGTCTTCACAACTCCCCAACCAAGAAAAATGAGATAAGAGTATAAGAGTATGCTTCCAGAGATCCAATACCAATTTCTATCTATACCCCTGGACAGTGCTAATAAGCTGCACTTGCTCCCCAGTACTCCTTCCTTGTCTCGTGTGCTCATGATAACTTTATGAAAGTCATCAGTTTACAATCTGCTCTATGGATTCAGCAAGTTTATTTATTTTCAAAACAGATCTATAAAAAAATACATAAGGAACAAGTAGGTTAACATCAACAATGCAACTATTTACATAATAGGGTAACAACAAACAACTGGAGCCTCTGTGGGGATGGGAGAGGTGCAGAGAGACAGAGAATACTCCAGTGTAGCAATCACTGGTCCTGATTATTTATAATTAGAGGATTGAATGGCCATAATATTCTGAGAGGGGGCTGAGGGGTAAAGTAAGGATTCCACCAGGCTCTTTATTGGTGAGCCCCCTGTCCCAAAGATGTCCTGGAGTTTTGACAACCGTGCCATTTTGATACCTGGTCAAGGCCATGACAGTGCAAAAGTCTACAAAGTTACTTATATAGATCAGGGCAGTGTTCGGACAACAGTGACAGTTTATGAATAACATGATAGAAAAATTAGGGCAGCAATTCTTCAGTTGACTAATAATACCGGAAAATTATGCTGTGGTGATGCAGGAAATTCAGAGTCACAAACAACAAAAAAAGGATGGCTTAACTTGCAGCAAGTAGTCACTAATATTTGCAATTCTACGCCCTGTTTTCCAAATTGGATTTTCATTAAAAAATAATAAAATACAGAAGTTGCTCAGTAAATCAAGACCACAATCCCCTGGTAATGGGCGGTACAGGCAGACTGAATTAGAAGAGGGCTGGGCCAGTGGGGAGTTTCCTACATGCTCAACATGTTTACAAAAGTAACTTCTCTGCAAGAGGTGAGGGCAACTATGTTGTACTTTAATCGCAATAGAAATCAATGAATGAAGAACTCCTTTAATAACTTACAATGTGACAAATGCACTAACAGCATTTTCATCAATCATACATGAAAGGTCTAACCTGAGGTTTGTGTGTGTCTGTGCGTGTGTGTATTTCATGTTATTTTGCAGCTTATTGGTCAGGCCTGGTTTCCAAACTTCAGGAGTCAGACCTTGCTATACTCACACATTTATAATCTTCCGCATCTGACTTAAACATGGTGCAGTGGGAGCTCGGCGGCGCAGTCAGGTTGCTCCACTCCAGATTGCCGGTTTGCAAAGGCCCATTGTCCATGGTAAGTAACCCCCAGGCTCAGGCCCAAGAAGCAGCTGCTATAGCTGAGACCAAGAGACAAACGCGGAGGATGTGACGGCAGCAGCACCAGCTCCCTCCCTCCCTCTCTCTCGCAAACACTCTCCAACCCCAAAGCAGCAGCAGAAATAACGTTGTGTTTGTATCCGCAGCTACCAGGGGGAATCTTTAAATTGTTTTTCCTCTTGCTCTGCCTCTCCTTCAACACACAAATACACTCAAGAGTGATCCTAACAGTAACCCTTTCCATGCCACACTGAGTAACCGGATTGCATATCTTTCCCAGGAGAGTTGCACTGTGTTGTTCTTAAACTGGTGCTGCAGTAGCCTCGGTCAAAATGACTCTTTGAAAAATACAGCAGAGCCAAACAACCTTTGATAAGAAGAAATGACTTCTGAATTTTAAAATAAGGAACGTTTGATTGTGCAAAGTTCAAGTTGTCTGAAAACACTGTTTTCATATTTACGATGTTTGCAATTGCATATTTTTACAGTCAAACATAAATGTTCACAGATAAGTTATTAATCGCCAAGCAGTGCAACAGTAAGTGATACTGATATCCAGCAGAAATCAAGTTAAATGCTTCCTTTGCACAGGTTTCATTACAAACTATAGATGAGAAACATCCAACTGCTTTACCCATAGTGTTTGTGAGTAGGATGTTGTCTCGAAGTTTCTTTTATTTATTTGAAACGAGCACCAAAATGTCACAGAAACATTTTACTTTGTATGCTGAAAAGCTGAAAAGGATATCCATTCAGTTTAAAGTCGTCAATCCAGTTGAGCCAGATTCTGCACTGGATAAAATAAAGCTACCGAGGGCACTGGATTTGTAATTAGATAAATTAACAATAAGCCTCTGCAGAACTCATACAAAGGATAGCTTTGTAGTGACCTAGGATTGCTGGCACAACTATCAAGGCAAGGCCAAGATGGCTGCGAGAAACTTGTGGAATTATAAAAGCAA